TATAAAAGCATTCAATGCAATAAGTCAGATAAGTGAAAAAAATTAAATTCTCTGAAAACGAGATAGTTAGCCATGAGATGGCACACATCCTCCACGCTCTGTGGCTGCAGCAACTGCTGGATTGCCTTTAACTTGTTGGGATCAGCCTCTATGCCTTTTGTAGAAACTTTATATCCCATGAAGATAATTTCACTTTTGGGAAACTCACATTTCTGATTCAGAGTGAGACCCTCCTTCTGGAACTTTTGGAGCAGACAGTGCAGTCTGTGGTCATGCTCCCGCATGTCTCTGCCATACACCGGCACATCATCGGCATGACAAATCACACCTTCAGAGTCCTCCAGCATCTGGGATATTTTCCTTTGTAAATGTTCCGGCGCCAATATTAAGGGAAGTCGGTTGAACTGAAACCGTTCAAAGGGCGTGATGAAGGTTGTGAGGGACCTTGACTCTGGTGTGAGAGGGATTTGCCAAAATGTGGAATGAGCTTCGAGTTTTGTGAACATTTAATCATCTTTCATCATTGCAATGTTTGATCAGCTGCTGGGAGAATGTTGCATTCCTTTTTTACTGCTGCATTTAGGAGTGTGAGGTCACGACCAAAAAGCAGTGATTGGTTAAATTAAAAAAGTACCCGCCTACCATCAAGCGAACAAATCCTAAGGTTGGCTGATAAATCAGGCTAGTACAATACCAGTGTTTTTCTAATCTCAACATCTAACGAGCAGGGGTGAAAGTAGACTGGTGTGTTATATGTGAAAAGGCTCCTTCAGCTTGCCTAAACCCTGAAACACATCTGGGTACGCTGCTCTGAAATCTGTCTCAATTTCAGTGACTGTGTCTACTCTGTACACCAGTCCTAGAGCATCACACGCTTGTCTGCTCAACAGTGGCTGTAATAGACCTGACACAAGATACACACAAGATCTTTCACTACCAGCTGTGCCCCAAAGCAGCTCTTTGCCTTAAATTGGTAAAAAAAAAAAGGGTTTCTGTAGCTTACCGTCCCTGTCTAGTCTGTACGTTATCTCTGGAAAAGACATAACATCTGACCATGTGCCAAGTTTAAATTCTACCTTTAATATTATATTGTTTAGCCAAAATAATATATCCGTTAACATGAAACAGCATATTATATGTTTTTTGAAAGCTCTCTACTGGTTGAAGTAGTAGTAGTAGTGTTTGTAGTAGTAGTAGCAGCAGTGATTGAAGTAGCAGTGGTTGAAGTATAGTGTTTGTATTAGTAATATATGTAGCAGGAGTATTAGCAATGGTTGAAAGCATAGGACATCAGCTGGACATGGAGAACCCCCCCCACGAAAATCACAAGAAAACTGTTCAAATGCAGTATTTGGTGGTATTACAATATTGGCTGCAGTTATTACTTTGTGACATGTTTTGCCCTTACCTAGCCAATAATGTGATAACCAGCAAAAAAAAAAAAAAAAAAAAAATCTGTAGATAATGTAATAAATTATTGGTTCACTAAAGTTATTACATTATTGGCTGGTTATTACGTTATGGGCTTATTACATTTAAACTTGGCCAAATTTATTTATCAGTTTCTACAATTCTTTGCCCAAAACTGGAATTGTGCGTCCATCCTTCTTGGTTTAAATAATGTATTACCCCAAACTGTGAAATAACCTTATCAATATTTATTCATGGGTGGGGAGTCCCTGCCTCAAGTGGAGGAGTTCAAGTATCTCGGGATCTTGTTCTCGAGTGAGGGGAGGATGAGGCGTGAGATTGACAGGTGGATCGGTGCAGCATCGTCAGTGATGCAATCGCTGTATCACACGATTGTGGTGAAGAGGAAGCTGTGCCAAAAGGCAAAGCTCTCGATTTACCGGTAAATCTACGTTCCTACCCTGAGCCTTGGGTAATGACCGAAAGAATAAGATCATGGATACAAGTGGTCGAAATGAGTTTCCTCTACAGAGTGGCTGGGCACTTCCTTAGAGATAGGGTGAGGAGCTCAGTCACATGGGATGAGCTTGGAGTAGAGCCGCTGCTCCTCCACGTTGATCTGTTCTGCATGACTCTTGGGCACATCCCTTGGGAGATGTTCCAGGCATGTCCCACTGGAGGCCCCGGAGAAGACCCAGGACACGCTGGAGGGACTATGTCTCTCGGCTGGACCCTTCTTAGACTGCTGCGTGACCTGGCCCCGGATAAGCGGAAGAAAATGGATGGATGTTCTTAGTTGAGTAACAGCAGTAAAGATTGGGACATTTCAAATCTTCTGTATCAAATGGAGATACAATAAAGATAATTTGTGAACCATTCTTATTCCAAATACATTTCCTGATTAACTCTGACATTTTAGTAAACATTCCAGCTGGTGGAACCATGGGGATATTTTTAAAGAAAATTCATTTGGGCGCCTTCAAGCAGAAGTAAACAGCAAGGCCAAAAATTCAATTTAATGCATCTGATATAAAAATGTATTGAACAGATACATATGTACTCTAGTTTATGAAACTGTTGACCTTTTTTCTGTACCGTTTTTGGTTCTAAAGTTCCATATGTTTTAAACAGACCATGTATGAAACATGGAACAAAAATTATTTCCCAAATTTCAAAGACCTGCAAATCATGTCAATAAATGGATGTATTTCATCATATCTTGTGTTATTCCATCTTTGAACTGTTGATGAAGGTACAGGATTTAAAAAAAAAAAAAAAAAAAGTATTTAAAATAAGAAAAATTAACTTGGAAGGACTGACATATTTTATAGAAATAGTTTCCTTTCATTTTGAAGTAATATTAAAGTATTCAGAAGAAAAAAGTTGACAAATGATGTAAAATCCTGCACCTTCTACTTGTTTGTACAATTTTCCCTCTGTTACTTTTTCCCTCCGTTACCGTGACCTTTCTTAATAAAAAATCTCATGACTCAAAAAGTAAGAGGTTTTTCAACCTAATCTTGTAACATATGGTAGAAAACTATATGACACAAATATTCAAACCAGTTTGTTAAGGATCTGTAAGTGAGAACCAAGAGTTATCACTGTTTATATTTATTGCCCAAAAAGTGCTGCATATTTCATTCCCTCCGTTACCGACATGAGTTTTTAAAATTTTTTTGTCTTGAACTTGAAAGAATATCACAGGTTTAACTTGACCCTGTTGGAGTGTAACTCTTTCCTACATTCTGATACTTACTTATTTCAATAGTCCCTCTAGTTTCTGAATAAGAGACATTTGAATGTAAAAAATCTGCCCCTGTTTCCCTCCGTTACCACTTGACCAGACCCATTTCTAGAATATTGATCCTACCTATAGGTGATACTGGTAAAACTTGCCACCAGTCCAAGTTTCTGGAGGTGAATTCTATTATTCTGTTCTAGTGGAGTGACACAATGAGTGTGAATACATGCACATCAATATCCCAGTTATTATATCTTGGTTATTGAAGTATTCGGAATACTGTGTATACAAGTGCACTGAGAAACCGGGATATTCATATCACTGTGTACATGATGAAATGAAGTATACCGGTTTCTGGTTTCAAAAATGATATACTTAATAAAAAAGGAAAAATACAAACAACCATGAGGTTTTTTAGCATAGGAAGCTCGGAAGGTTCGTAACCAGTGATAAGGAACTATGATCCACTGCACAGATCAAACTGAACTTTCCAAACACACTGCAACAGATTCTTAATTAAAATCTTCTGCATAAATAAACTCAACTTTACAACATATAAACCATAACCACTATACAGCCACATCAACCCATTTGATCATATAATTCAGCTCATTTGCATAAATGTAAGTGCTGATAAAAACAGCTCGCTCCTTGTGCGCTGATGCGGTTCAGCTTCTTTCAGACTAAAGGACACGACTCAGTGGGATATGTGTGTTCTTTCTGTGACAGAGGGATGGGCTGCTGATGGTGAGTCTGTTCTGTGCGTATATCATGTTAGAGATGGTTCATGTTTAACTTTTCAGAGATTATACATGTGCAAGTCATACGAGTGCAGACTGTACATGTGCAGGTTTAGTGCACCTCTATTTTAGTTATTTCATTCATGTATGGTCACTTTATTTATGTTGGTCATTTTATATCTGCACATTTGTTTCATACATAATTTGTGTCAAATCTAAAGCTGGGATGTAAATTTTAATCAGTAGTTCAGAAAAGTTAAACCAGCACAAGTAACAGCACGACTGGGCCACCATTACCAGAAGTCAGTTTTGACAATCAGTTCTGATGGAGCTTGGTGCTTCTCCTTTGCTCCCAGGAGCAGTAGTTCTGATGGCATTGTTGTGTATGTTTGAGCTGAAACATGAGTGCAGCTCAAACACAGCTCCAGACTGGACTCTTCAGGATCTGCTTTAAAAACAACTCTGGATTCATGGATGTAGAGTTGGACTATGAAGTCTAAATATATTCTCAATGTTTTAAATGCAAAAAATAATAAACAAACAAACAAATAAATACATAAATAAATAAATAAATAAACAAATTAATTAAAATAAAATAAAGCATAACTGTATTTCTTTTATACTTACTCTTCCACGGGCAAACTGTTAACCAGTGAACACCTGCAGGCTCCAGTCTGTAGGAGAACACACATTTTTCATTACTGTGGTTCATCAAGGCTTTATGTTTAATCTATTAAAATAGACTGAGTCTGTATGGTGTGAGTGTGTATGGTACAGTTACTGCTCCACAGGAGCAATGGTGGGAAGACAGGTCCATACCTGAGAGAGTCCAGTGTGCAGTGGGGGTCCTCCTGTAGAGCAGACAGGAGCTTTACTCCTGTGTCTCCTGGATGGTTGTAGCTTAGGTCCAGTTGTCTCAGATGGGAGGGGTTGGACCTCAGAGCTGAGGCCAGAGAAGCACAGCCTTCCTCTGAGACCAAACAACCTGACAGTCTGAGGACAGATATTGTAATCAGTCAATTCATTAGTAACATTCAATACAAATGGGACATCATGTCATTTTTATTAATTGTAATTCTCAGTGTAACTAAAATGAATAATGTGACCTGAGCTGTTCCAGTTTACAGTGACGACTCTTCAGTCCAACAGACAACATCTCCAGCCCTGAGTCCTTAAAGTCGTTGTGACTGAGGTCCAGGACTGTCAGACTAGAGGACTGGGAGCTGAGGACTGAGGACAGAGCTTCACAGCTTCTCTCTGACAGATTACAGCTGCTCAGTCTGGAGGACGAAATGGGAGCTCATTAGAGAAGAACTCAAAAAATAAATGGGCTGTTCTGATACACTCTTTCATTCATAATCTCAGCAACAAAGCTTTAAAAGAAATACATCTGTTGTGTTTATGAAATACAAAACATTACTTAGTTTTCCCGTAGGATGGCTGTTGGATCGCTAGTCTTTAATGATGTATGAAATACATGCTTTATATAAAACATCAACATAGGGCCAGAATAATAGTATTTGCACTTTTTCAGAATAATAGTAATTGCACTTTTTTTGAGAGTGACAGACTAGGTTTGTCTGGACTGTCTATAATCAGTAATAAAACAAAGTATAAGAATAAAAAAAAATGCCTGCATATTTCTGACCTGAGCTGTTCCAGTTTACAGTGAGAACTCATCAGACCAACAGACAACATCTTCAGCCCTGAGTCCTTCAAGTCATTATGACCAAGGTCCAGGACTCTCAGACTAGAGGACTGGGAGCTGAGGACTGAGGACAGAGCTTCACAGCTTCTCTCTGACAGATTACAGCTGCTCAGTCTGGAGAGAAAACAATGTTTATGTAGAGGTTGAATCAAACCATCCTCTGTCAAACAAATGTTACTCACAGAGCTTTGTTGGAGGCCTTGACCACTGGCAGCAGCCTCAGCAGAGCCTCCTCTGAAGCAGAGTATTTCTTCAGATCAAACTGCTCCAGATCTTCTACTGATGACAGTAAGATGAAGGCCAGAGCTGACCACTGAGCAGGAGACAGTCCACCTTCAGACGGACGTCCTGACCTCAGGTACTGTTGGATCTGCTCCACCAGAGAACGATCATTCAGTTCATTCAGACAGTGGAGCAGGTTGATGCTCCTCTCTGCAGACACATCCTCACTCAGCTTCTCCTTGATGTACTCAGCTGTTTTCTGATTGGTCTGGGAGCTACTTCCTGTCTGTGTCAGCAGACCTTGTAGAAGGCTCTGATTGGTCGACAGTGAAAGTCCCAGGAGGAAGCGGAGGAGCAGGTCCAGGTGTCCAGTTGGACTCTGTAAGGCCTGGTCCACAGCTGTCTGGTGAAGATGCTTTAGTTTTCTTTTCACACTGAACTTTGTAGACATCTGCTTTTTCTCTGAGAGCAGGTTGATCCCAGTGTTGATGAAGGTCAGATGGACGTGAAGAGCAGCCAGAAACTCCTGCACACTCAGATGGATGAAGCAGTAGACCTTGTCCTGGTACAGGCCTGTCTCCTCTCTAAAGACCTGTGTGAACACTCCGGAGTACACTGAGGCCGCTGCAGCGTCCAGTCCACACTTCCTCAGGTCACTCTCGTAGAAGATCAGGTTTCCTTTCTGCAGCTGCTCAAAGGCCAGTTTTCCCAGAGACTTCACCATCTTCCTGGTCTCTGGACTCCAGTGTGGGTCTGTGTCAGATCTTCCTTCATATTTAATGAGTTTGACTTTGGCCTGAACCACCAGGAAGTAGATGTACATTTGAGTCAGGGTCTTGGGCAGCTCTCCTCTCTCTCTGCTTTTCAACACATGTTCCAGGACTGTGGCAGTGATCCAGCAGAAGATCGGCATGTAGCACATGATGTGGAGGCTTCTGGACGTCTTGATGTGGGAGATGATTGTGTTGGCCTCATCTCTGAACCTCTTCCTGAAATACTGCTCCTTCTGTGGGTCGGTGAACCCTCTGACCTCTGTCACCATGGAGACACACTCAGCAGGGATCTGATTGGCTGCCGCGGGTCGTGTGGTTATCCAGAGGCGAGCGGAGGGAAGCAGGCTCCCCCTGATGAGGTTTACCAGCAGCACGTGCACTGAGGCGGACTCTGTGGGGTCAGTCAGGGCCTTGGTTTTGGTGAAGTCCAGAGGAAGTCTGCACTCGTCCAGACCGTCAAAGATGAAGAGCACCTGGAGGTCTTCAAAGCTGCAGAGTTCTGCTTGTGTTTGACTAAAGAAGTGATGAACAAGTGTCACCAAGCTGAAGCTTCTCTCCTTCAGCACATTGAGTGATCTGAAAGTGAACGGGAACAGCAGCTGTATGTCCTGGTTGGCTTTGCCTTCAGCCCAGTCCAGAGTGAACTTCTGAGTGAGCACTGTTTTCCCGATGCCAGCCACTCCCTTTGTCAGCACTGTTCTGATTGGTCCATGTGTGTGAGCTGGGCCTTTAAACATGTCTTCACATGTGATGGTTGTCTCTGCTGGGTCTGGTTTCCTGGAGGCTGTTTCCATGTGTCTGACCTCATGTTCCTGGTTGACCTCTGAAGACCCTCCCTCTGTGATGTAGAGCTCTGTGTAGATCTCATTCAGAAGGGTGGGGTTTCCTGCTTTAGCGATGCCCTCAAACACACATTGAAACTTCTGCTGCAGGTTTGACTTCAGTTTACGCTGATAAACTCCAGAATAACTCCCTGAATGAAGACAACAGATACAGGCCTGAGTCTCAGAGAAGATAAAATGACTCTGAGCATCTTGTTAAATGTGTTAAATGGTCCTACTGCTCCACAGACGCTCAGCCAGCTCCTTCTGCTTCATCCTCCTCAGGAAGTTCAGTGTGATCTTCAGAAAAGCCTCACTGCTGCTCCTCTGCTCTTCATCCTCATCCTCCACAGGCTCTAAGCATTCTGGGTAATCTGTACTCAGAACCTTGTGGAGCTTCTTCAGCTTCTTCTGGACAAAAGTGAAGATGTCCTCCTCCAGAAGCTGAACAGACACATTATAAACAACACAATTGCAGTCAGTGTCAGATCTGTGTCAAACAAGGTCTCATTCATCTGAACATTTCCAAACTTTAGTGAATGACAGACCTTAAATATGGAGTCCAGCTGTGTCTGATGGTGCTGACCACTGGAGACCTCTGGATCCGTCTGCTCCACTCTGTGAACGAGACACATTAAACTCTCATTTCAGTTCTGTTGTTTTATTCAACACTTGTGGAAACTCACGGCTCCGTGGCAAAAACAATGGGATGTGACATAGACCAGTCACTCCTGAGGGACTCACAGCTGGGACCAGGTTCAGATGGAGGATGTTTCTGGTGGATCCTGAGACACAGAAGAAAAAACACTTCAGTCACAGTAAAACACATGGGACTGTTCTGACTCAGGTCAGATACTTCAGGAGGTTCTACAAAGTGTTCATGAGGCCTTCACCACAGACACTTCAGTCTGATGGTTTGAATAAAGAAACACTACATTTCACTATATTGTTTTCATTATTACAGAAAATATAAACTACTTGCTCCTTTTTACTTTAAAACCACTTACCATCCACCCGTCCGCCGGCGGGTGATTTTCCAATAAAAAATGTTCACTCTGTATATTCACCTTCATTATTGTTTTCACTACTGGCATGCCATACATTGTTTGAAAGCTTAATTTCTCAATAAAACAACCATATCATTCATTTTATGGCGTACAATGAGCCCAAAACGCGATAACTTAAAAATTCACATCATAATCAAAGAAAAAGATATGCGTTTCTTACATTTGAGCCGGTTCTCTCGGTCCAAAATGCGTTCAATCCATGAAAAGTTATACTCAATAAGTCCGTAATAATCCACAGAAAAAGAATATCAAGTTGTTTTTTCCATAAAATAATTCCATGTGGGTAAATAATCCAGAAAATCCTCGTCCGTATGAATGGATGAATCTTGTGCCGAATTGTCATTTTGTTTACACAAAGGCTCACAGCATCAAAACCCTTTGTCCTAGAGATCTGAAATTCTACACAGTTGTTGCCAACAACTTGAGCAATGAGGGTAGTGAGTCACAAATGCCTAGCATGAAGTATGCCCAAGCTAAGGCCTTTATTTTTTCAATTTTTTTTTCGAAGCAAAAAAATATAATTTTTAATTGACTGTACTGTAGGTTAGGAAGCACACAGTCTTCATGTACATATCTACAGAAACTAGAAGGCCTAAGCTTTAAAATGGTGCCTCACACAAGCATGTGGGTTTTAAGGTTTTCTTTTAATAAGCTATGGCACTTGGGTATGTAGTGCTACTGTGCACATGCCAAAATTAGGTGACAGGTTAAACACCTTTTCTTTTTCCAGATAGAGGCCTGACAGTGACACTGAACATAATTGATGTTTGTTAAACCAGTTCACTCTTAAAATCCTTCTGTGTTCATGTTTAAATTTACACTTAAAATCTAATTATAATTAGATTTCTGGAATTGTCAGTTAATTGAAATGTAACTTAAAACAGCAAAATCTGTTGTGAGATGATTTCTCTCAGAAAGACAAGACGTCCTACACTGAAGCGACACATGTGCACCTGGTGTTTTTGGTCATCACATTTCTTTAGTTCATGTAAACACACACAACAGTCACATCTAATCATTGGCTCAGACTTACTGTAGACCAGGCTCCTTTTTAAAATCAATGTATCGGTCAATAGAGCCTTCACTTCCCAGCGCCGCCCTGCTGGTGGTGGGAGGGTCTGCGTCCTCTCTGTGCTCTCTCTGATCCATGCTCAGTCCAGAGTCCTACAGAATGACATCACAGTGTTTAGCCCCGCCCACTGCTCACATGGTTCATGTCAGTGACAGAACAGCACCAGAGCCACACACATATCTCTGTTGATACACTCCTACATTCAAAAGATTCTACATTTGAATTCAGAAAAGTGCAGTTTGACAAAACTGATGAATCCAAATCCTAACAGTGTGCTGTTTTTGTGTCTCTTTCATTGGTTAGTGCAGCTCAGAAGTCTTAGTCATGCTCTCAGTGACCACAGACAATCACTGGTTTAGTGCAGTCTGTGTTTGGGTTCACACTTTACACACATGACACTGAAGAGCTGTGGACATGGATCAGATTTCACTGTAGATTTGAACAGGACAATATCTTAAACATGTTCACAGTAGAGACTTACAGACTGGACAGATTTTGTTCAATCTATTTCACATAAAGAAGAGATGTATGAGAATAGCAAACACTTGAACACTGTAGTTACTGTAGTGACTGTGGAACAGCTCCATCCCACTGGACACATGTGCTGTATCACACTCATGTCTCTATATTCAGTAGAGTCTGTGCTCACGGCTCCAGCTCTTCTCCCTGTGGGAGTCATGTGGCTCAAAGTCCTCACTAGGCTCAAAGTCCTTCATCATGTGTGAACAAGCCTTTAGTGTGAAAAAACAAGGTGGATTCAGTGAGTGTGTGTGTTTGTGTGAGAGCTGTGTCAAGTGTTCTGAGAAAGAGCCTGAAAACTGTGTGAAATGATGACAAATGTCCCAGTGATATGACCGCCACAAGTACAACTACACAAATGACATGACACTTACATTTTCTGTCCAATTGTAATTTCTTCAGTTAAAAAATATCTGTAGTCCCTCTGAACTCCATGGAACCAAATCATGTTTTCAGAAATCATTAGTTATCGTGCATGTTTTTGTACTCAAAGTGTTAAAATGTCATGTGGTGCGACCATCCGCCCTTAAACTTCTTTAAAATTGTTTCTTTCTTTTTTGGCATATTTTGTATTTTGTAGTCCCACATGACATTTCAGCTTTCTGGAATAGATATTTCCCCATAATATACAAATAGATTTTGTCCGAGCGTGTCCATTTTTTCAAATATCATGTGGTGCAACCATCAAGAAATGACTATTCTGGACTTTTTATTTTGAATTCAACTGAAAAAGAGGAAGTTGAATCATTCACCAGTTTGCAAAGGACACATGGAATCAACAAGCAGGTTTGTAACCCTTTTTCAAACATTTGAAAAAGTCAGTGTTTTTAAGCGCTGGGAGGCTGTTGCCATATTTGGATGTGAAAAACCAGTTTGTTTTGTTACAGTGGCTCATACTTTGCCTGTAAATTTGGACTGAATCTAAAAAACATCATGTAATGCGACCACTGTAGGAAACAATCGTTACGACGTAACTGTGGTTCTATGAATCCCAGATGACCGCCAGAGGCGCTGCTTCAAGCACTGGATGATCATCCTTGCGCATGCGCAGGTCAAGAATTTAATAACAACAAAGTCACCTTTGACCTCCGGTGCCTCAGGGGAGTCTATATAATTACGTGACACCGGAAGCTCAGTCCCTCAAACCTTCTCGTGAAACCACGAGGGTTCCGAGGGACCGGGAACTCTGGCAGTCATCTGGGATTCATAGAACTGCAGTTACAGTCGTAACTATCGTTCTATTTCATCCCTACTGACTGCCAGAGGCGGTGCTTCAAGCACTGGATGATGGATTAGCAAGGTCACAAGGAATCATCAACGTAAGGAGAAACCCTACCTCACTGTGATGTAGAGAAGTGTTGCTGAAGAACCCCTCCAGTGGGTGTGGGGAAGCTATGTTCACCCTGTAGAATCTTGCAAAGGTGTTGAGGGAGGTCCAGGAAGCTGCTGCTGAACAAATGACATCTAACGACATACCATTGACAGCGGCCCATGATGTTGAGAAGCCCCTTGTGGTGTGACACCGGACCCCAGATGGCAACGACTGTCCCTGTAAAGCATAAGCTTTTGTTATGACCCCCACAATCCAGTGCGCGAGGCGCTGTTTTGAAAGGGTCTGACCTCTGCGTGAGCCAGCAAACAGACAAACAAGCTATCAGACCTCCGCATAGAAGCTGTGGAGTGAACATACATCTCGAGCACATGTACGGGACACAGCAATTCAGCAGGAGTTCCCACCTCAAAATGGGAAAGCTGCAGTGGCAGATTGTGCTGTGTAGATGAGGGCACCTTTGGAACAAAAAATGCATCAGGCCAAAGGGAAACCCCAGAACCATCAGGATGCCTGCGGCAACAAGATTCGTGAACGGACAGAGCATGTAGCTCACTCACCCGTTTAGCAGAAGCCATGGCCAACAGGAATGCAGTCTTCATCGAGAGCCACTTAAGGTGGATCTGCACAAGTGGCTCAAATGGAGGAGCCCGCAGGGCCTCAAGTACAAGGGAAAGGTCCCATGTCAGGACAACAGAGCGATTGGGTGGACGCAAGTGGCGCACACCCTTCAGAAACACCAAAATACGACCAACATTAGAGTCATTCCACCCTGCATGCCAGCAATTAATGGCAGCAACGTATACCTTTGGGGTAGTTGGTGTATGTCCCTGATTTAGCAATCCCTGCAGGAATGTAAGAACTATGGAAATGAGGCAGTGAACCAGGTCCTACCCCCTTCACAACACCATGTGTCAAAGAGCCTTCACTTGCAAGAACACAACTTGTGTGTAGATGGGGCATGCGCATTGGTCATCGTGTCCCCTATTGCTCCGGCATATTCTGAGAAGGCTAAGTCGGGCCTTGTAGGGGCCACACCCAGAGTTTCAGGCGACCGGGGTCGGGATGCAGAATCCGACCCCCCAGTTGCGACAGAATATCCCTCCTGGAGGGAAGACGTCATGCAGGACCGCTGCAAAGCCTGAGCAGGAGAGGAAACCAGGGCCTCGCTGGCCAGAATGGAGCCACCAGGAGAAGACTGTGGCCTGCCTAAAGGACCCGGAGCAGTGTTTGAAAAATCAAGAGGAAATGGTGGGAACGCATAAAGAAGGGTTCTGAGCCAGTTGTGAGCCAGTGCATCCTGACCCAGAGGGCTGGCACACTCCGTCCATGAAAACCAAAGGGGGCAGTGCGTCGTCTTCTGGGAGGCAAATAGATCCACGTTTGCCCTGCCGAACATCTCCCAAATGTGCTCCACCACCTCTGGATGAAGCCTCCATTCTCCTGGCAATGGCCCTTGCCGAGACACGAAGTCTGCCGATGTGTTCTGAAACCCCGGAATGTGCACAGCTCTCAGACTGGCAAAACGTGGTGCAGCCCAAGTCAGGAGGAGTTGTGCCATCCTCAGCAAGCTCTCCGACCAGGCGCCCCCCTCGTGGTTTAGGTGAAAAACCACTCTGGTGTTGTTGGACCTCACTACCACATGTCATCCTCGTAGATACGGGAGAAAATGATGTAGAGCAAACTAGATGGTCATGAACTCCAGACTGTTGATATGAAGCCTGCTCTGGCGTACGGCCCACAACCCTTGTGCTGTCCGTCCCTGCTGTGTTGCACCCCAACCCACTAGGGACACATCTGTGTGTACAACCTCCCTCCTGGAGGGAAGGGGAACCAGAGGAACACCTCGCAACATGAATACCTCATTCCTCCAGTGAGACAGGGATGCCATGCACTGAGAGGTGACAAGTAGATGTCGCTTTCTGT